AATTATTCCTAAAAACAATATGGAGTATAGTGAGAAATTCTTTTGAAAGTCTAAGCCAAAATTCAATTTTTATACCACGCATTTCTTTCACCATATCAACGTGGATTTTTTATTGATATTCTCTGGGAATAAAAGTTATAGGTTTTGTAAACATGACTAAATGTCTAACCCCAATCCGATCCATCTCGTGTCGGGGCGGATAGAAAATAAAATAAAATAAAAGATTAGGTTATCTACTTCTAAACTACCTTTTTATTTTATAACACTATAAAAAATTACATAAATTCTATCAGAAAAAACAAATAAGAATATGCACTAATACGGACATGAACAAAAAACAAGAAATCTTTGGATTATCTTTTCTAGGTGTTACAGCTGTGTTTGGTACACCACATACAAGAGGCAGCTTCCATTCAAAGCGTTATTCTATGTCAATGATTATGTTAGAGGATAATGATTAAAACAAAAACATCATTTTCAAATATTAAAGCAAAAGTTAAATAAATGAAATAAAGTACTCTATATAGTCACACTCTATATATTCCTATATATAAAGAAAAAAAATGACAAGTGACAAAATTGATTACTTTGTGGACCCCATAGTTTATACAAAGTTCCAAAATTTTCCTCCCTTCTTTCCAGATTTTACACATATTCCCCCACATTTTCCATTTTTTCCCAAACAACCCCAACAAAAAAAAAACACATTTTTGTTCAAGTCTCAAAGAGAGAGATCTAAGTTTTGAATCTCACACACCCCAAACAAAAAAACTCATTCATCTCTGAAGCTGTATATCCATTTTGCTCTTCTCTATCCTCTCCATTATAGTTCCTACAACAACAACAAAAAAACATATAATTTTCATAAGACACAATTAGCATTAAAAAAATATCAAATACTTCGCATTATAAGGAACCAAAAGCTACAAAGTTTAACTCACCAGGAGGATAACAAACAGGAGGATCTTCAAAGAGAGAACGAGAGATTTGTTTATGAGCAACGCCGATATCGAAAAGAACAAGTCCAGAAGAAGGATCATTTACTGCGATGCCTTTAACAGGTAACCAAAGAAAAAGCTCTTCTTGTGTCAAACCTTCAAGCCCAACAAGTCCACCATAGCTTAGATTAGCTCTGATCACACTATCAAAGTATACTCTGTTTTCGAACCGAGCAAAACAAGGATTCTGTAACTGAACTTCGAGCTCCCCTGTCTTCTCGTCTAGACTGTAACTCTCTACGTTGTCTGGAAACAAACCACCTGGTAAACCACGAGCTTCGAGGAGGTTTCGGATCGAGGATTGTGAAGATGGAGTTACGATTTGG